TTATTTTAATTATTTTAGTTTTCAATTTTTTATAAGAAAATGTAGTGGGCATGAAAGGTCTGTTCTGGGGCTTCCCTGGTGACTCAGTGGTTGAGAGTCCGCCTCCCGATGCAGAGGACACGGGTTCGTGCCCCGGTCTGGGAAGATCCCACATGCCGCGGAGCGGCTGGGCCCGTGAGCCATGGCCACTGAGCCTGCGCGTCCAGAGGCTGTGCTCCGCAATGGGAGAGACCACAACAGTGAGAGGCCCAAGTACCGCAAAAAAAAAAAAAAAAAAAAAAAGTCTGTTCTTTTTTCTGCACTCTTAGTACCCACAAAATTTTTTAGAAAGACCCCTGTATACTTATAAAGAAATGCTCACTGTTTTCTCTACAGTGTTATCCTCATGTATCTGTTAGTTCTGTCCCATGCAAATCTTCAGATTCTTTTTTTTTTTTTTTTTGCGGTACGCGGGCCTCTCACTGTTGTGGCCTCTACTGTTGCAGAGCAACAGGCTCCGGACGCGCAGGCTCAGCGGCCATGGCTCACGGGCCCAGCCGCTCCGCGGCACGTGGAATCTTCCCGGACCGGGGCACAAACCCGTGCCCCCTGCATCGGCAGGCGGACTCTCAACCACTGTGCCACCAGGGAAGCCCCCCAGATTCTTTTAATTTTTCTATTTTTAATAAATTATACAAAGACATCATAAATTCATTCTCTGTTTAAAGAAACAAAATATGTGCAATGAAGTTGTCCTCCCTGTGTACCTCTCCCCTCATCCTGATGCTTCTTCCCAGCAGGAATCACTGCTGGTGGTATGAAGAGCCCTCTCAGTCCTCCTGGTATCTGTGTTTCCTTCTGTATATATCCAGGGCAATGGTTATTATTTTCTGTTCTGATTTTTGCTCTAGTCTCTGTTTTTCCTTTTATGCATGTTTTTATTTAAAACATAGTAAGTACAAATTCAGAAGCATTCTGTTTTCATTTTCAGACTTCTGACTCCTCTGAAGATACCATGATAGAAACCCTGCCTTGTTTTATTTTTAGTTAGCATGATAAGCTTTACAGAAACACTTTAGCTTTTACCTGTTGCTTTTTGGTTTGATTCATTGACTTTTTTGTAAGGGTATTTAGCTTAAAGTTGTTAGAATGACTACTTGATGTCTGTCTGTAGGATGCTGAGGAAGACCATGAAAGAACATATCAAATGGTTTTACTGAGAAAGCTTTGTCTGCCAATGTTGTGTTTTCTGCTTCACACCATATTGCATAGTACCGGTCAGTATCAGGAATGCCTGCAGTTAGCGGATATGGTATCCTCTGAGCGCCACAAGCTGTATCTGGTAAGTTCTAGAGCATTTGCACTTTTAAATTTTAGTGATTTGATAACCTCTGTAATAATATTTAGGTTTGTGAGATGTGTTTATATTCTTTAGATGTTCTTAGACTTTCTTAAAGTAGGGATCCAGTTTTAATGTTTGTGCTTTTTTATCCAAAATATGTATACATTTCTAAGCAGTTTGAAGTATATAGACTGGTCCAGAGAAGTAGCTTTGAAGTCCTGGGCTATCCTAATATACTGGCCTCTGGCTACATAAACCTTAAAGAGGAATTTCTTCTTGCATTAAGCTAATCAGGTTGATTAGGTGACTGTAAATTCACACTCTTTTTTGTTCTCATTCTTAACATTTTTCTCTTTTTTAAAAATCAGGTGTTTTCTAAGGAAGAACTAAGGAAATTGCTACAGAAGTTAAGAGAATCCTCTCTAATGCTCCTAGACCAGGGACTTGATCCATTAGGATATGAAATTCAGTCATAATTCATCTGCTGTTTGTAATCTCAGTAATTTCCATGATAAATGGAAGTTTTTCTGTAAAATATATATACTTGTAATTACTGGGTTTTTTCTTTTGCCTTATGGGGAAAATGTTTATGAAATTTAGGCATTTAATTTTGTACTTTTAAGAATATTATGGTGACACTTTGAAAATTTAATGTATTATATAATTCCCGGTGTTTATTAATAAAACTATATAAAAACTAAAATTTTCTGTTCATATGAATTCCAGGAACGTCCCTCTATTATGTAATAAGAAATTAAATTTCCTGTTATCCTTTTTCCCTGTGATCATAAGTACTCTGAAATTTTAAAGAGGTTGGAAAGTAGATACATGTTTAAGCCAGGTGTATAAGTCCTCATCATAAAATTTGGTGTTTTTAAAATATTACAGTTAATTAGATGAACATAGCAAGAATGTTTTCTAAAATAATATTATGCTATTTATTTTGATGACGTTTCTAGTTTATTAACTCTCATTCAGCAAACCTGCTCTAAAATAAGTCAGAGCATGTACAGACTTAGAATAGTATCTGGCACACAGCAAGCAGTGAATAAATTGGGGAATACACAGTGAGTAAGATCTCATCTAGCCCTTCCAGTAGGGGAAATACAATAAATATATTTTTAAATGCCATTTTAAAATACAAGTAATCCAAGCAGGGAGAAACTATTTCCAGCTAAGAGGTTTCTGAGGAAGTAGCATTTGAGCTGGGGTCTGGGTAATGCACTGAATTTGCAAAGACAGAGATACAAGCACAAGAAGGGTGGGGCACTACAGATTAGGAAATCAGTATAAGCAAGGCCTACAAATGGTAAATGCATGTTTATGAATCAGCATGTATGTTGAATTGACTAGAGTGTAGGACTTATAAATGAGAGATGACCAAAAGAGAGAATGTGACTCTAAGAGAAAACATGATGTAAATGGATTATAAACCTGAATATAAACGCTGAAACCATAAAACCTTTAAGAAAAATAGAGAATATCTTTGGGACCCAAGGGTAGGTAAAGATTTCCTATACAAGAGACAGAAAGCAATTACCATAAAGGAAAAAATTGATTACTTAGACCATCAAAATATAAAACTCTGCTCTTCAAAGACATTAAGAAAATAAGTAAGCCACAGACTGGGAGAAAATATTTGCAGAAGGATAACTGACTAAAAAAACTCGTGTCCAGCATATATAAAGAACTCTTATGCTTTTTTCCTTGAGCTTGCAGTCTTAGCTGCGATGCATTTCTTGGGCGCCGCGTTCCTGTTCCTGGCACTCAGTGCCTCTGCCCTGGCCGAGCTGGTGCATTTCAAGGACTGCGGTTCTGGGGTCGGAGTTATAAAGGAAGTGAATGTGAATCCATACTCCACCCAACCCTGCCAACTGCACAAAGGACAGTCTTACAGTGTCAATGTCATGTTCACCAGTAGCACTCAGTCTCAAAGTAGCAAAGCCGTGGTGCATGGCATTGTGATGGGTTTCGCCATTCCCTTTCCTATTCCTGAGCCTGACGGTTGTAAGAGTGGAATCAGCTGCCCCATTGAAAAAGACAAGACCTATAGCTACTTGAATAAACTACCCGTGAAGAGTGAATACCCCTCTATAAAACTGGTGGTGGAGTGGGAACTTACAGATGACAACGACCAACGTCTCTTCTGCTGGCAAATCCCAGTACAGATTGAAAGCTAGAGCTATTTGATGCCAATATGTCCGTCTGGGGGTGAGAGAGCACGGGTGGAGGGAGAGGAGGAGAGATCAAGTCTAAACTGAATCAGTGCCATAAGATGAAAGGAATTTCTAGACTGCCGTTCTAGCCTCAACCTCCAAAAGCATCTAAGACCCTATTTCCTGAGAGCTCAGAACTGTCGCCCCTGTATTATCCTTTGTAAAAGGGTTGAAGGAAGGAAGAGAAAGTGAGACTGTAGGAATTGATTTGTCTTCAGGGGGAGTTGTTTGGTTTGGTTTGGTTTTGCTTTTGGAATAAGGAGGGTCTAACCAGACATGATCCAAATGAGGCTGCTTGGGGGATATTGGATAACTTGCCCTAGGGTTACTAGCCCTTGCAGCAAAGCACGGGTTCCAAACCACATCCATCTAGCTGGGATATTACATCTGCAACTTCCTCATCTCCACGTGCCTCGTTGAGTTCAGTGCATCTGGCCAATGAGCTTCCTCACATCCAGCTCCGCTGCTTCACTGGCCATGACTTGCTCTGCAGTGGTGTCCAGCGTGGTAGTGGAGGGGAAGTATTCTACAACAGAAATTCTCTGCAGTTAGCTCATGTCTCCTTTACTATCTTAGGTGGTTTTCATTAAATGCATCACTTGATTAGCAAAAAAAAATAATAAAAAGGCCAAAAAAAATTTAAAGAGTGGACAAAATAGTACAACAGATGATTCTTGAAGACATACCTAACCATGTGCCTGTGAAAAGTGCTCAAGTCAATGGTGAATGCAAATTAAAACCATGAGATACCACTATACATCCATCAGAATGGCTAAAATCAAAGACTAACAACCAAATGTTTGGGAGGATGTGGAGCAACTGTGACTGGGACATATTGCTGGGGAATGTAAAATGGTACAATCTTTGGGGAAAGTTTTGACTTTCTATTCTTGTGGATAACTGTCTATTTTATTGACCTTTTCAAATATTATAAACAACAATCTACCCTTTAACCCAGGAATTTCACTCAAATGCATAATGTTTAGAATAAGTAAAGTGATGTGACAACAGATGAAATAAATTGAAAATATGGTAGAATACCATATACAACTCTGACCAAGTATATTAGAACATCTAAGTAAAATGGACACTTCTAGGACGATGAAAAACCAAACATTTATTCAAAAAAAAAATCTTAATAGTTTACTAACCATGATGAGTATATGAGGGTTCATCATACTGTCTACTCTTATCTATGTTTGGATTTTTAAAATAAAATGTCTAAAAATATGGTTTCAAGAAGTAATGCTTTCCCCTGTTTGGCGAGGGCTAAATTTGCTCAGCACCAAGAATACCTAGGAAGTCTACTCAACCGACACAGAAAATACCAAACAAGAAAGGGGTCCCAGATTGGCGCAGCCAGGTTTAGGTAACCCAGGAGGTAGTGGACCAAGGACGCAGCTCTCCGCACCCAGAGCTCAACGCGCCTGCGCAGGTAGAGGCCGCTTCCTGAACTGTTCAAGGGCGGAAGCGCGGGCTCCCCGAGTCACGTGACCGAGGGCGGAAGGGGGCGGAGCGCGCGGGACGTGCTGCCGCGTAGTCGCCGGCTGAATGGGCGGTGGCAGAGCATGTGTGATCCGCTGAGGCTGCAGCTTGCCAGGGACCCAGAGGTTGCATGCCTCTCCCCGGCCGGACCGTAAAGCCGGGGGCTGCGAGGACGCGGCGGCGGAGGAGGAGGCAAAGGGCAGCTGGAGGTAGGCCGGGCGCCCCTTTCCGAGGGTGAAGGGCCCCGGCTCCGCGGGGGTCATGGCAGCGCTGGCCGATAGAGTACGAGGCAGAGGGCGCATCGCCGCCGGGCTCCTGCTCAACCTATTGGTGTCCATCTGCATCGTGTTCCTCAACAAATGGATCTATGTCCACTACGGCTTCCCCAACATGAGCCTGACCCTGGTGCACTTCGTGGTAACTTGGCTGGGCTTGTACATCTGCCAGAAACTGGACATGTTTGCCCCTAAAAGTCTGCCGCCTTCCAAGCTTCTCCTCCTGGCCCTCAGCTTCTGTGGCTTCGTGGTCTTCACCAACTTATCTCTGCAGAACAACACCATAGGCACCTATCAGCTGGCCAAGGCCATGACCACGCCGGTGATCATAGTCATCCAGACCTTCTGCTATAAGAAAACCTTCTCCACCAAAATACAGCTCACGCTGGTGAGTAGCTTCAGCTGGGCGAGGCGCACCTCTTAACAACCCACCTCCTGGACAGTCTTTCTCGCTGGGAAATTTGAATGGTTAACCTTGCACCACGCTCTTTCCCGTGATCTGGAAATCCACTCGAGTCCTTTGTGAGCAAGTGAACTTAAGGCTTATTTGGGGAAGGTGAAAAAAAGCCATCTTGGCGCTCTGTTGGGCTTTTAGCCCAGTAGAGTGTGCTTGTGTGAGTTTTAATAACTACTGTTTGATGGAAATCCTTAAATGCTATGATCGGTAAGAAAAGAAAGCTGTGTTGGGTGATGCAAATCTGTATGGGATTAAGTGCAAAAGCTCAAACTGAAAAACGTTTATGATAAACGTAAAATGTTAAGTCTCAGGATATGTTTGCGGCGACATACTGCAGAGGCTTCAGCGTCTTTAAATAAGACTAAAATAATTTTAGCACTTCATAACTTACAGCATTTAAAATCTTAATGCTTTTGTTATATGTTTATATATTGTTTAGACACTGGTTTGGGGGTCCATTTACTACTATGTGCACGCATGTGGTATTTTCTTGCAAAGTGCAATGCATCGACTCATTTTACCCAGAATTTTACTTTAAATAGAATTAAATGTGAGCGTAAATATAGAATTATCATATTTCATTTTGAATAAATAGGATTACCAGACCGTTTTTTTTCAAATGGAAAAAATATTTATAGAGGTTCATTGTTTCCTAATGATGTTTTTATGATTAACCTTTCAAGACACTGTGAAAGGAATACTAATTTTATGTCTCATAAATTTAATCTGAACAACGTTTACCTCTTTTTCTTTACAGATTCCTATAACTGTAGGTGTAATCCTAAATTCTTATTACGATGTGAAGTTTAATTTCCTTGGAACGGTGTTTGCTGCTCTTGGTGTTTTAGTTACATCCCTTTATCAAGTGGTTGGTAATTTTTTTTTTCTTTATGTGCCCTTTTTAGCAGATTTCATAAATTTTGAAGCTGTGCCCCAAGGTTTAGACAATACAGTATAGAGACAATAGACTGTTGGGAAGAAAGCATAATTGCATAAATTGTCTGACTCAAGGTGAAGAGAAGAAAGGAGACAGAGAAACTTGGGTGTATGATGCTCACCAAGTACCTCCCTACCTGTTTGTAAGTGTATATTACCCATGCTTAACAGTCTGAGTTTGGGATGATGGTATATTATTTTCTGGGAAATCTTTACAAAATGAATAGTAAGACTTTTTACTTGAGGATTGAGTCCATTGGTTGTATTTAGCATTTACTCTTTAATTATGACATTACTGTGAAGGAGTGAGTACAGGGGCAAAAATTTGAACAGGAAAGGAAAATTTGAGATTTATAAATCTTTGCCTCAGAAGATATGCTGCTGTTACAGCTCGTATATTCTAATCATTTTTCTCCGTCAATATTTTATAGCAATGGGTATTTCACTTCTTGCACTAGTGCGGTAACTTGCCTGTAACAGCCATTTATTTGACATTTGTTCATGGATTCACTTACTTCATTACCATAAAATCTCAACAAGTATTTTTGTTTGTTTCTTATATATTGGAGGAAAGAATAGTGAATGGCGAAGGGTACAGTGAAACAGTGTTTTCTCTGTACTGAAAACCTTGGACTGGAAATTGTGGTTTCCAGTGCCTGCGTATGGGGAATCAGAGCCAAAATGTGTGACCAGTTTTACTTTTTTCACAAACGTCCACTGGTTATAAACTAAGGCATTCTTGTTATGAATGTTAGGAGTTTAATAATACAGCTTTAGCATCTTAAATTTTCTAGTACTGGTCATTTCAGAAACATTGTTATGTGAAAATTCTGGGGTTGAAAACATTTCTTAGTGGCAGAGAAGCAGTTTAAATGAAAGAGAGCAGTGACATGAGAGGGTGGGGCACCCGCTCAATCTTGTCACTTGGCCTCAAGATATTCTGTCTTTTACTGCAGAGAGAAATCAGAGGAAGCTCAGGTTTGTGCTTTAAGAAAATTGCATTTGGGCATACTTCAGTGAGTTTAAAGTTAAATTTTTTAATTAGATACAGTCAGTGAACATTCGTATTTCTCTTTTTTGTTAAATGGACTTTATTTTTGACCCAGTATGGATTATTTATTAGATACAGCAAGAAATTTCATTTGTTGAACGTTAGAATTTCTTGTATTCCTTACACATCACTTCAATTCAGAGTACTCACTGCCCATGCCAATATGACCGTTTTTGTTCACACAAGTTTCAAAATGGCTATAGGGTGGAATCAAAGGATTCTGTATCTCTCAGGTAGATATCTGAAATGAGATTGACCAAGGAATGATTATAGACTAAGTCATGGGCAGAGTTTTTGATTATCAGTAAATGGTAAAAGTACTGGCACAGAATAGGTGTATTCCCTCCCAAAATTCATTTTAAGGAAAGTTATATTTTCCCATTGTAACCTGGTATAATTTCTAAGTTATTTCTTCTTATACTGCTAGGGCATTAAAAGGAATTAAGAGATGAGTGACCAACTATTAGTTTTAGTGGTAGAAAGATGGTTGACTCCTTCATTCATTCAAAAGACATTTCTTCTGCTTTATGCTCAACCTTGATACAAAGATAAAGGGCAGCTATAATCCAGCATTGCAGAAACACATGGAGACAGCTGATAACAAGTGGTATAGCTCAGAGTATGAGGAAAGTTCTGAGGAGCACCAGGGAAGAAGGGGTAGTTCTGCACGAGGGCGGTAGTGAGGTAAGATTTTATGGGAAGGTTAACAATTTAAATTGAAGAATGCACAGGAATTCGCTTAGCAAAGAAATAGAGCAGAGGTCTTTCTTTGCAGTGATGTGTGAAAGTACAGAGCATTTTTGGAGAACTTGATTTGTTTGGTGGGACTGGACTGTAGTTGCGTGGTGGAAAGACAAGGCTGAGGGGTGGGTGAGACCAGATGGCAGAGTTTTGAGTGTTATGCTGAGGAAGTGTGCCCTTTATCCTGCAGGTACCAGGAGAGGAGTTCAGATGGGCAGTGACTTGATCACTCCCTGTGTTTTAGAAACTTCACTCTGGTGGCAGTGAAGGATGAATAAGAGGGACGACGGGGTGACAGGCAGAGCAGTCAGGAAGTGCTCCATGGTTTAAGGGGAAGACAGGAAGGGCCTGAACAAGGACAGTGGTACTGGACGTGGAAAGGAAAGAATAGACTTCAGAGACCTTTTGGAGAAAGAATTAGTAGGACCTGACTGAATGTGAGAATGAGGAAAATAAGGAGTCTGATCCTTGGAGGAGATTATATCATTAATTATCGGACCAACACAGGAGGAGCTAATTTGGAGAAGGAATTAATCTTAATCTTAAACAAGCTCCTTCAGGTGATATAACTGAAGATGGCTAGTTAGCTGTTTGTTGAAGGTGGGACTTAAAGGATGCTCAGGGAAGGAGGTCAGAGCTGTAGATGTCAGCGGATAGTAAAAGATCAGTGAGGGAGAAAAAAGAGGAAAGCCAGACATCTCCCTTACAGGTAGTAAGTGAAGGAACAGGTGAGCGAGGAAGCAGCGCGAACCAGCAGTCAAGTTCTTCCAAGAGAAATCTGCAGGTTCTGCAGAGGGCTGCGGCCGGAAGGGGACCGAGGGCAGTCCTTCGATGTGGCCACTGGAGGTGAAGGTGCCCTTTTGGGGAGCAGTTTCATGAGAGGGTTGGTGGGCAGAAGCCAGGCTGCATGGCAGGGAGGGCAGGTGGTGGCCTGAGAGTCACCACCATTCCAGGCTGTCTGTCCTGTGTCAGGGACACACAGCTGCCCAGAGAGGCTGCCCAACACAGGGCTGTGCACATCCCCTCTGCATTCATTTTTGCTTGCTGCGGTGTCCCAAGCAAAAGAATCAATTCTCTGTCCTTCATGTTCACAGCAGACTCTCATTAAGGCTGACAGGAGTATGCTTCAGATTTCTCGCTCTTCTATTTTTGTCTTGGTGAATTTCTATAGACTTAGAGTTTATGTAACAGGATACCCGGACCTACAGGAAAGAGGATTATGTAGGAGCAGTTATTCAAAAGCCTGGCTGTTCCTGCCAGATCTTATTCAGACAGTCCTATCAAGCTTTCTTTAAAGCCTCCTTTTCAGTTATATTTGTGAAGCATTTTGAGAACTGATGGGATTTGAGGCTTTGGGGTGTTGGTTCTACCGAAGGATAGTCTTTTAAAGTTTGTGATTATCTAGTTTATTGAGGAGTATTGGTGTGGGATTACCCACCGAAACGTCAGCCATAAAGAGGAAAGTTCCTTCGACCATCGATTGGGTTTTCTGAAGTGAATGAAAAGACCTCACGTACCTTTTTAGCCGCACATATTGGCAGCCACCTGGGATAACTGAGGTTTCTGTCAGTCTGTAATTAGAGTCCGCCCTGCCCCCCAGTCTTCGTTTTGGGGGCCATTTTTAGAAAGAAATGAAGTCTGACACTGCATCTGTATTCCTGCTTATCCTGCTTATAAATATTATCCTGCTTAGAAATTTCCATTCCTGCCTAATTTTCCCAAGATCGCTGATGCCTGTGGGCCCCGGTATGCATTGGCTTTCCCCATCTACTCGGATCAGGAGGGAAGAGAGGATTTTTTTTCTCCTTTATAATTGAGAAGAAAATAGATTATCAGACATTGAATTTATAAAGCTCCTTTCATCCAGGGAGCTTAATATAATATACATATATATTATTGATCTTTGAAATCTTATAGACTCATTAGGCATTTCCTCTTCCCCCCGCCCTGCCTCACATTCCCACGTTTGTGGCTAGAGTTGCATCTTTTGTTTGTTGAGTGATGCTGTTTTTTTCTGCCTAACTCGTTCTCTCTCCTAATTTTCAGTGGGTAGGAGCCAAACAGCATGAATTGCAAGTAAACTCGATGCAGCTGCTGTACTACCAGGCCCCGATGTCATCTGCCATGTTGCTGGTCGCCGTGCCCTTCTTTGAGCCGGTGTTCGCAGAAGGAGGAATATTTGGTCCCTGGTCAGTCTCTGCTTTGGTAAGTTACAATTGTTTTGGTGTCTAAGAAACAAGATAATAATAATTTCTCCATTATTAATGTAATTTTAGTTTTCAGAGCACTAGCTCAGATCCATTCTCACATTTAGTCTTTATAATCACCCTTTAAGGGAGGCAAGGTAAGGATTATTCATTAGATGAAGAAACTGAGGCACAGAAAGATTGAGGGACTTGCTTAGGGTTAAATTGCCAGTCAGTGGCCAAACCAGGACTAGAATTCAGGTCTTCTGATGTCTGGTTACTGTGCTGAGCCCGCCAGGCTATTGCCCACCAATACTTTGGGCATTTTTTTTGTTTCTTAAATAATGAAAATATAACTTTGTTGATTTTCTTGTAATAGTATAAGTAGTACATGCTCATTGTATGCATTTTTGAACATACATAAAATTATAAAGTGAAGGTCTCCCCAAATCCTGCCACACTAAGATAAACACCTTTACTGTTTTGGTGATGATCATTTCATGGATCTCTTTCATATACACAGACACACGCATGTGTGTGTATGTTTAATTTCATATGTATGTAACCGTATTATATATGCTGGGTTTTAGGGAGGTTTTTTGTTTTTTTTTTTTTGCGGTACGCGGGCCTCTCACTGTTGTGGCCTCTCCCGTTGCGGAGCACAGGCTCTGGACGCGCAGGCTCAGCGGCCATGGCTCACGGACCTAGCCGCTCCGCGGCATGTGGGATCTTCCCGGACCGGGGCACGAACCCGTGTCCCCTGCATCGGCAGGTGAACTCTCAACCACTGCGCCACCAGGGAAGCCCTTTGGGAGGTTTTTTTGTGGCTGCGCCACATGGCATGTGGGATGCTAGTTCCCCTACCAGGTATTGAACCCGTGCCCCCTGCAGTGGAAGCGTGGAGTCCTAACCACTGGACTGCCAGGGAATTCCCTATATATGCAGCTTTTATCATGGATTCCTTTTCCTCAGCCCTCCTACCCATACACACATCAACATCCCATTACCTCACCCCTGTCCCTTGAAATAAGTCATGTTAACATTCTAGTGTTTGTTCTTCCATGTTTTTCTCTGTGCTGTGCATACCCACATGTAAACACATACAACATACATAGGCACACATGCACGTATGTACACATAAATTGCACATTGGTTTTTTTACAGAAGTGGGATCATATTACACATGATTTTCTGTATCTTGCTTTTCTCACTTAACAATGTCCCATGAAAATCCCTTCAAATCATTCTTTCAGTACTTGTATAATAGTTCCAGTTCTTAACCACTATGAACAGTATTACAGTAAACATCCTTGTACATGTGTCCTCATGTACTGGTACTTTTTATTCTATGGGATAGAGTCCTAGAGTGGAATTGCCAGATCAAAGGGACCTGTACTTTGGGGACATTTTTTTAATAAAGTTAGAAAGTATAATCCCCCTATTTAGGAAAGGAACTCCTGCTTCCCATACTTTTAACACAGTCAGTGGGAACATCTTTTTTGCTGGTGGTGTTGATTTATCAAACTTGCATAGCCCTTACTCTGCTCCAGGCACTATTCTAAGCTCTTTGCAAATATTAACTTATTTGATCCTCATAACAACTTTATTAGGTGTTTACTGATGAGGGAACTGAGAGACAAAGCGTTAAGTAACTGACTCAAGGTCCACAGCAGAGCCAGACTTTGAATCCATGCATTCTAGATCCAAAGTCCACATTCTTAACCACCCTGCGAGGCTGCCTGTGAGCAGATTGATAGTTGTTTCGAATTCATATACTTTAGCATTTGCGCTTTTTTCCCAAGGTAGAAATCAGTGGACCATCTCTCAGGTAATATCTCCTCTTACTTTTACGAAAGTTACCCATCTTGGTCATCTTGCCTATCAACCACTGCAGCTTGAGCACCTTAGACTAGGAGGGGAGAGGCTTTATGTGACTGGCCCTCTGACAGATTTGAAAATGAGGACCTCAGCAGAAAGGCCATAAAAAAGGTCAAAGAAACAAGAGCATAGCCAGTTTGAGGCCATTGAATAAGGGAAAGTCACCTGCATTCCTTCTTGTCCCTAGAGGGCATCATTGCCTCAAAGTAGAGCATGTAATTGTGTTGTTAATGATGTGCCAGGTCATCAAGAAATAGGCATGTGACATTCTGTGAACTCAATAAAATTAACAAGGACACATTTCTAGAAACAGTTTTTAAAATCTTTAAGGAGCAAGTTTCTCTTAGTTGAAAATTTAATGGAACTCACTGTTGTAAAACAAGTAAGATGTTACTATTTCTACCTAAATAGGCTGCAAATCCAATTGGCCTGGGCTTCTTCTGACTGCACTGGTTTAAAAACAGAAAACCCACATGGGACAGAAAGAATCTTCAAATATGACATTTTCTTTGGAATTTAAACTTCTTACTAATTCAAATTGTAACTAATATTTTCTCTAGATTCTCTTATTTCAGAAATAGAAAATGTTTTTATAACTTTTACAATGAAATTGTGGGATACGTGTGGACAGAATGTTGTGTGTGTCTACAGTGGTACAGCCAGAATGTTGTGTGTGTCTACAGTGGTACAGCTGCTTTGGTCCCCCGCCTCAGCTGGTTAACTCGCCATCCCATGCACACACCTGGGCTTTCACGCCTCCATGCTTTGACCCATACTGTTTTCCTGCCCCTGTTATTTCTTTCTCTAATCAAAACATGCATTTGAAATCCAAAGACTGTTCTTGCTATCGCAGCCCAGAAGGACATCTCCTGTCTAGAGTCCTACAAAACCTATCGTCTGTTTGCCTATTAACGAGGTAGAGCTCAGGACTCATTTTCTTTTCTTGCCTGAGCTGTTCATCTTGTATTGCACTCTCTCTTTCATGTGGTTAAGAGGTAGCATGGCAGAGCAGGTTAGGAGCAGGGACTCCAGTACCTTGGCCCTTCTTACTGGCTGTGTGTCATAGGCAAGTTGCTTTACCTCTCTGTGCTCTGTTTTCTTGTCTGTAAAAAGGGAAGATATTTTACTCCCTCGTGGCTGTTTGCAATGATTAAATGAGTTAATATATGTAAAATATTTAGAACAATTCTTGGTGCGTAATAAGTACTATATCAGTATAAGCTATGATTATCAAGATTTTTATCATGTGCTCAAGCAGTTTCTAAGATCTTTGAGGGCAGGAACCCACTGTGTTCCTTACAAGGCCTGGCCTAGTTTTATAGATACCTGATGAATGCCTACTGATTGAATTTAAATAAGAATAAATATAAACAATTCAATGGAAAAAAGATCTGGAAGGATATATACCAACGTATTAATAGTGGTGAGTGGTTGAGATTTAAAGAATTCCTTATGAGTTCTCTTCACAAGGAAAAAAACTTTTTTTCTATTTATTTTTCTATTATTTAATTTTGTATTCACATGAGATGATGGATGTTCTCTAAACTTGCTGTGGTAATCATTTCATAATGTGTGTAAATTAAATCATGATGCTGTACACCTTAAACTTACGCAGTGCTGTATGTCAATTATATCTCAATAAAACTAGAAGAAAAAAGAATTCTTTATATTCTTGCTCATCTTTATTGTCTGGTTTTTCTGTAATGAATATATATTACTTTTATAATAAGAAATTATTACAAAATAATTTTTCTTTGGATAGATAAGAAAAATGAATCTGGAGATTTACATTCAGAGGCAGGATATTGTTGGAGAATTTTCCATTGCATTTTGTAGACAAAATTACATTTGTGAATACTACTCATTCTGCTCTTTAACCCTCAGTTCTTGCTATCTCCCAACTTGATTCTCTCTTTTTAAAAATCTTGTTTTTAATGGTTGATAGAAGTGCCTGATGAAGTGTATTTTCACTTGATGATTGCAATGATTGCAGCTGCTTTGCATTAATGATTCTTCTGGTTTATTTGTAGCTGATGGTCCTGCTCTCTGGAGTAATAGCTTTCATGGTGAACTTATCGATTTATTGGATCATTGGGAACACTTCACCAGTCACGTATCCTTTTCCTAACAACTTACAAATGTGTAGTCTTTTATATTCTCCAAAACTCTGTCACATTGATTTCCTTATTTGAGTCTCACACTTTCTATTGCATGGCCTAAATTGAGTAGAATGAGTTATTTTTAGTCTCTTACTAGAGTCTGTGGAAATTTAAAGAACTGTGAACTGGGGAAATGGGTTAACTTTCTGTATGATAAATGCTTTTGAATTTTCTTTAAGGAATAGGTGACCTTTTCCCTTATCAGAATTAACATAGAGCACCATTCCTTGTGCATAGTGGGGTTAAATAAATATTTGTTGACTGAATAATGGGGTGGATACTTATGTTTTCCATCACTTTTCAGTTCTCGATAGTTCGATAATAATAAAGTAAAGGTGTGGTTAATCCAAATAACAGAAAATAATTTCAGACCAGTTGCTCTGACTTTTGAGCTTGTTTTTGTACTTGTCTCGCTACAGGTGTGCCTGCTTTTCTCAATATTACTTCAAATCAGGAAGTGGAGTCATGACTTGAATGTCTGAATCAAACTCAACTGCCCATTTTTAACATTTTGTTTTTAATGAGTGAACACCGAGATGTCAACAAAGTAAAAAAGCAGCATATTTGCCCACTATCAGTAAATAACAGTGATAATAATGATAATTTTTTTTAAAAAACAATACCTGGGGACTCCCCTGGTGGCGCATTGGTTATGACTCTGCTCCCGATGCAGGGGGCCCGGGTTCGATCCTTGGTCCAGGAACTAGGTCCCACATGCTACAACTAAGAGTTTGCATGCCACAACTAAGGAGCCGGCGCAACCAAATAAATAAATAATTTTAAAAAAAATTTATTTATTTAGGGCTTCCCTGGTGGCGCAGTGGTTGAGAGTCCGCCTGCCGATGCAGGGGACATGGGTTTGTGCCCCTGTCTGGGAAGATCCCACATGCCGCGGAGCGGCTGGGCCCATGAGCCATGGCCGCTGAGCCTGTGCGTCCGGAGCCTGTGCAAAAAAAAAAAAAAATTTATTTATTTAGTTAGTTATTTTTGGCTGCGTTGGGTCTTTGTTGCTGTACACGGGCTTTCTTTTTTCCAGTTGCGGCGAGCGGGGGCTCCTCTTCCTTGCAGTGCCCAGGCCTCTCATTGCGATGGCTTCTCTTGTTGCGGAGCACGGGCTCTAGGCGTGCGGGCTTCATTAGTTGTGGCACGTGGGCTCAGTAGTTGTGGCTCACGGACTCTAGAGCGCAGGCTCAGTAGTTGTGGCGCATGGGCTTAGTTGCTCTGCGGCATGTGGGATATTCCCGGACCAGGGCTCGAACCCATGTCCCCTGCATTGGCAGGCGGATTCTTAACCACTGCACCACCAGGGAAGCCCAATAAATATTTTTTAAAAATTAAAAAATAAACAACACTTAATAAATGTTTATTTTGTGTCAGGCACTGTTCCAAACATCTTGTGTGTATTAAGCATTTAGTTTTTACAGCAGCTCGAAGAGATAAATTCTATCATTTTATTCTACAGAAGAGGAAATAGAGGCACAGAGAGGTTGAATAACTTACTTGGAGTTACCCAGCTGAGAAGTGTGGTGTCCAGATTTGAGCCCAGGTAGTCTAGCCCCAGGATTTATGCACCATGCTGCTGGGTCAAGGCATCCAAGTATGCGCCCTGATTAAGAGCATCCATTCATTCAGTCAACAAATACTTATTGAATGCCCCCTATAAACTGTTCTTTGACTTAATAAATATTCACATACTGAATATCTGCTGTCTGTCAGGCACTGGAGATATAGTAGTGAACCGAAGAGACAAAAACCTTTGCTCTCACAGGCTTAAATTCTGGGGAGGAAGACAGGCTATAAACAAGAAAAATAAGAAATGGGCATATACAGGGCTAGATTGTGTTAAGTGATAAGGAGAAAAAGGTTAAGCAGGAAAGGGGATGTGAAATGTTGGGGACAGGGTTGCAGTTTTACGGAGGGTAGTTGGGAAGGCCTCAGCAAGACGGGTACTTTTGAGGAAAGACCTGAAGGAAGTGAGGTTGCTCTGTGCAGAGCAGGGTGGGTAGCGTTCCAGGCAGAGGGGACAGCAGGTGAGAGGCTGGAAGGAACAAGAAGCCTGTGTGGCTGGAGCGGGAAGAACAAAGGGTGGGTTCTTTGTCCCTGAAGAGTAACAGGGGGCCTGACTGAGCAGAACTTTCACACGAGGACTCCTACACCAAGTGAGAGGGGACGGCGTTGGAGTTTTGAGCAGAGAAATGCCATGATTTTCTGTCTGTTCTAATAGGATCCTTCTGGGCTACTGTGTTGAGAACAGACCGGGGTGGGGGGGGACTTTTCAACTTCAGTGCTATTGGCCTTTTTGGTCCAGTGGACAGGCCTGTCCATGTTTAGCAGCATCTCTGGCCTCTACCCACGAGACGCCAGTAGCATCCCTGTCCCCAATTATGAAAACCAAAACTGTGTCCAGACCTTGCCCAGGTGACAAAATCACCCCTGGTTGGGAAAACCACTGTACTGAAAGTGGCAAGAGAAGAAGAGAAACCATCAGGAAGCCATGGCGGTTTGGTACCAGGACAGTCGCAGTGGATATAGTGAGAAGTGATTGGGTTCTGGATATATGTTCAAGTAGAGCCAGCAGGTTTTATTGGCAGACTGGATGTGGAGAATGAGAGAGGAAAGATGGTTGCCACCCAGTTTGGGCCTGAGCACCTGGCAGGGTGGAAATAGGACAGCCCCCAGGAGGCTTGGGGGTGGGGAGGAAGACCAAGTGCTCAGTTTTGGGTAAAAAGAATCTGAGTTCAAGGTCGAGGTCTTTGTTGGAGGTATTCCGGAGAGAGTCAGTAGTGTGTAGATGTGGTTTGAAGCAGTGAGCCTGGCTGAGATTACCAAGCAAACAAGTGGAAGAAAAAGAGGTGCCCAAAGACCGAGTCCTGGGTCACCTCGGTGTTTAGAGTTTGGAGAGATGACAGGAGCCAGGCAGAAGGGGCAGAGAAGGAGTGATCAAGGTGGAAGGAAGGAGGACAGGGTGTAGAAGCCAAGTGAGGAGGAAGAGGAGTCAGCTGTGTCCAAGGCCACTGACAGGTCAAGCTTGAGGAAGGCTGGAAAGGGATGGAGGAAGGGGTGTGGTGAGGTGGAGGTTTTGACGAGAACTTCAGCGTGTCCAGGTGGAAGCTGACCGGAGCAGAGTGGAGAATTAGAGATGTCGGGTATAGATTGCACCTGTTTTGTTCTGTGTTATTTTTCTAATTTACAAAGGGATTCACTGAAGCATTTCTTTAAATTTGCCTTTCCTCTCATGTAAATATTGTTAACAGATCATGAGCACTTCAAAGCGAGGCTGAGGAGTAAGGAAATGCTGCAGTGCGGGAGCCGGTTCACTTGAAGATAGCTCGTAATTGAAAATGAAGCCTGCTTTATTACGGTTATAATTAACGTCCTCGGGAAGGTCCTCCATCCCGCAGGAAAATTACCCTTCTTGGGTCGGGCCAGCACAGGTACCCTGGTGACTCAGCCCGTGCTCTCCTGCTCGGAAGCAACTTCCAAGCTGCTTAGTTGGGCTCAGAACAGAGGAGGGAGCCTGGGCTTTGAGGTCGGACAGGTCCAGGTGTGCCAGCCCGGCCCCGCCGCTGCCTGTGGGCCTGCGTGACTTGTAGATCTCGGGTCTCACTCATATCACTTATGAAACGGGGGTTGTGGTACCTACAGAGTTGGGTGAGTGCTTGAGAGAATGCGTTCAGCACCTGGCAGGTGTTTTTTATGCGTACGTGCTGCTGTTGATAGCTGACCCATAGGGTGCTTCCTGGGTGCTCGAAGCCTCGCGTATATTAGCTGTATATTAGCTTAGTTAATCCTCACAATGATGCTGAGGTACAGAGTGGTAGCTCTTTCTAGTACCGTGTTTGGGAAGAGTAGATGGGTGCATATCAGACGTCTGAAAAATAATAAAGTACTAATCCATATGTAAAAAACTATTTAAAATACAGGAAGAGAATAATTTATAAAGGAACCATCTGTGTCTTTAGTTTGTCTTTTAAATGAACAGTGATTTGGAAACACCCTAATCCAGCAGCAAGTTACTGGCAGTCTGCTCATCTCAAACATGGACTTTGGATTAAATAGACCCATCTATGTTTGGCCTCGGCTGTGCTGCTTACTAACTCTGTGATCTAAGTTACTTAAAATCCTCAAGCCTCTACAGTTGTCGATGGGAGGAGTGATACCACAGTGGAGGGAAATGTGACGCTTAAATAAAATGGTGTTATATATGCACCTCGCGTAGTGCCTGGCATGTATTGGTGCTCAGTGGTGTTCCATCCCCTGTCCCCGATTCCCTCTTAAACTTAAGCGCACTGGCTGTGTTGACCTTGTGTCAGCCATCTGGCACCTTTCACATCTCACCTTATTTGCCAAGGGAAGTTTAGAAATGGTGCCATGAAACAGCATCACAAATTGCTCTACAAAAGACCTTCTCTGTACCTTGTTCTGAATCCCTTCCCCACCCTTGTACTGCAGCCCCTTTTCTCTTCTTTGCAGAGGTCAACAAGGACAGTTGAGGCAGTCTTCTGTCACTGATTACTTGCTAAAACCTACCTGAAGAAGCTAGGATCAAGCCAGCACTTCACTGAAGTTCCTGTTCTTTAGATGGGGTGGGAGGCGGGGCGATGGGGGCAGGGGTGGGGCCGCCGTTTAGTCTGCGTTTCGTGCACTTCTCTCCAGGCACAGGAAGCTTTTGCTTCGTGGGGTGTGTGTGTGTGTGTGTGTGTATGTGTGTGTGAATATAACATCTGGCTTGTTCTTTTTTATCCTTATCCAAAAACCTCAGCTATAACATGTTTGGACACTTCAAGTTCTGCATTACTTTATTTGGAGGATATGTTTTATTTAAGGATCCATTGTCCATTAATCAGGGTCTTGGCATGTTATGTACACTATTTGGCATTCTTGCCTATACCCATATTAAACTCAGTGAACAGGAAGGAAGTAAGAGTAAATTGATGCAACGTCCTTAATTAGGTTTTCATAAAGAAAAGAAAGTCGCCTGAAGAAGATAAAAAAAAAAGTATTAAGTGTGCAAGTTACTTTCAAAGATGAAACAAAAATTATATTGCAAAATACATTAAATGATGGTTTGAAAGAAGTTAAGCAAAGGAAATTTTATTCATAAATATGACTTTCTTGGGACTTACCTGGTGGTCCAGTGGTTGGGACTCCACGCTTCCACTGCCAAGGGTGCAGGTTCGATCCCTGGTCAGGGAACTAAGATCACACAAGCCGTGTGGCACAGCCAAAAATTTTAAGTAAAAATAAAATAAATATGACTTTCTCTTTTACAGTACCTTTTTTAAAAAACGTAATTCTCTAAAACATGGCTCATGCTTCCTTTCAAAGATGATTCTATGAAGTACACAGAATGTTTGGTTATATCAAATGAAGTACATGAAATTAAAGTTCTGTAATGGTGACAAAGGAATTCAGATCACTGTACTACAAACGTGTAGTGGTTTTTAAGGAAGGGCACGTAGGACTCCCCTACTTGCTCTTAGGTGGTCCCCAATGTGAGCCCAGTTATAATTTAGGCCAAAGTATTCAAGTCAGGATTTAAAGCTAGCATTTCTATTGATATTTTCGTTGTTTTAGTATAACTTCCTGCTTTTTTCATTTATAGATAGGAAATAACATTTCTAGAAAGCAAAGTGTAGTAAAGGGGACCATAAGCCAAAATCCGGTGCTAAAAGTACCATTTCTCTAGTAGAAAATTGATGTAAGAAGTTAGATGTTATCCAAAAAACTACAGTTTCTGTAGGTATTTTCTTGTTTTGAGCTCTTGGTGGACTCTAGAAACTATACATGAAGTTAAAAAACAAAACAGCTCCATGTTTAAATGGCTCAAAGAAAGGACTACGGGAGGAATTGAGCAGGTTTCTTCTTATCCTGGTGACTGTTCTTCTGGCCTCTGAGCATTTCGTGTTGGTAATTTCTTAAGACTACCTTCCTGTTGTCATTCCCTACCCGCCACGTGTGAGGCATCCGCGGAGCTTTCTTTGGCACTGAAGGATTTGGAGTGAACTATGTCAGCCTTTCTAAGGGGGCTGAGGAAAATCCTTGAGCAGCAAGTCAAGGCAAATGTACTCAAAGACTAAGCAGAAGCTTGATGAAGATACGAGGAAAGATTTGAGAGAGAAGTAGAGAAACAGTCAATATTTAACAAGTTCCATGAATTTTTTAAAGGGATAATTAAAAAAAATGTTATGGGGGGAATACATGATACTTAAGGAAATAATTGTGCCACCTATTTAATTGCAAAATCTACTTCTGCCTTCCAACATTTGACATTTGAGAATTCAAAGCAGTTGTTGATAACCTCTCACCATAAATTGACTGAAACAGGTAATCCCTCTTGTAATAAATAATTCTTTTTCTAAACATTGTTTAGAAACTTCAGGTGAGAACACAACACTTAGGAGGACAAAGAGCCACGTGTATAAAATATGCCGTTTAGGATTATTTTTTTCCTGGCCTGTTTGAAGTGAAAAGCCTCACTGAAAATCTTATTTTGACAGAATTTCAATGTATCGGTCAATCTGTTGTGTGATTTTTATGTGTGGTTTTCTGTTTTTGTTTTAAATACATTTGGTTCTTCTCTGTTTCCAAAGATACATTTTATTGTGCTAAGAAATACAAAGCAGATTGTCTTGCCAGATGGACCTCAGGAGTTATGTTTGTCTAAGAAATGTTCTCTGTGTATGTTTAAATTAACATATAATTATTTCCCCAAAGCTGGAGAAAAGTATTTCAGAGGATTATGCGACTTCTGTGCACTAACAGCTGAGTTGATTTGTGCCATGTACAAATTCTTCTTAACTGTAAATACAACTTGGGGAGGGGATTTATAATAAATGTTGGGGGAGAGTTATAATAAATGACGGATGTCAATAAGAATGCAAGGAAGGTTGGAACAAGACAGCATGGGAGGGTACGTATTTATAAGTGAATAAAATATGTACTCCTGGAACTAGAGTCTGATAAACAGTTTTTGCCCTGAAGACCATCTTCCCATTGAAAAGGAAATTCCTGGGGGAAAAATGTACCAGACCATAAGGACCAACCATAGAGACAAACCAGAAATGCAGTGCTATGGAAGAAAGCATGCTGGCTGTCCTTTTGTTACGGATGTAACTGCATTTGTTTTTTATTGTATGTTCGATGACTGGACTTCAGCTGTTACCTGTTATAAATAAAGAGAACCTGATATTTTTACTTTCAAGTCGCATGTTAGGACCGGCAGAAGAAGGATGGCATCTGTGTATATGCAGGGGTACAGTGGCCTGTCCAGCCCCCAAATATGCAGCATCTAATGAAACAAAATCCTCATCTCCCTTTTAAAATAACATAAAGGAGAAATCTTTTTCTATGAAATGAAGCAAGCTTTTTCCTGTTGCATTTTTAAAAATACTTTTTAAATCTTGCTAGTTTCAAATCAGTGGTCATCTTTTCTAAAAAAATCTACTTAAAAGCGACAGCACTAATCGACACTCCACATTGACCCCATCGGTGAGTAGTTGTTGGGTGAATGAATATGCAGAATGGCCAAAGGAGAAAGTCTGATTAAACGAATGAAGACCAGATTTATTAGATAGATTCTGTTTTGCATTTCTGTTTCCAAACTTGAACTGGATTATACTTGCTAACATCAGGAATACAATGATCATTTCATTCATTCAACAAGTTTTATTGAACATATATTTTGTGCCAAATACTGTGCTAGACACTGCAAAGACACTCCTGTGTTCCCTGTGATCTTAAGAAACATTGGTCTAGCAGAAAAGATAGACATTAATTAAATTAAAATGTGAGTTTATTAGTACAAACTCAAATAGTAAAAGGAACGTGGTTCTCTGGAGCATGTAACAAAAGAATCTGGCCTAGGATTGGCTGTCAGCAAAGGCATCCACGAGGAAAGAACAACTCAACTGAAATCTGATGGGCATATAGAAGTTAGCTAAGCAAAGAGGGGGATTGCATTCTGATAAAAGGGAATAGCACATACAAAGGCCCATTGGTTGGAGGAGTTTATGATGAGTTTAAAGAACTGCAAAAAGGATGGAGCATAGCGGCTACATTTAGGGAAGGGGAGATGTGGTATGATACGAGACTGGAAAGGAAGGCCAGCCTCGGACCATAGAATACCTTGTAGACATTGTTAGGCATCCAGTAAGAGCAAGAAGGGAGTGTTCTGAACGTCATCACGGTCGACCCCTTCGTTTTGAAACAGTTGGAAGAGAACCAGAGAGATGCTAGGAGACGTGATAGCTTGAAGGGGTGGTGGAGAGATGACGAAGTGGGTAGATCAAGAGGATTTAGTAGACGGGATCAAGTAGACTTGAGATGGATTGGAAATGGAGGGCATGGGAGGGGATGAAGTCAAGAATCACACATGTTTGATTTGGGCAGCTTGATAGAGGATGGTGCCACTCTGAGGTAGGAAACGTGAGAAGACGGTTGGGGTGGGGAGGATGGAGCCCGAGTTCCTACGTAGCCATCTCGATTTTGAGGCATCTTTGAGAAATCCAATTATTAATCAAGTAATCAAATATACAAGTCTAGAAGTCAGGAGTGTTTTCTTTTTAATTGAGGTATAGTTGATTTACAATATTAGTTTCAGGTTTACAGCTTGGTGATTCAGTATTTTTACAGATTATATTCCATTAAAAGTTATTACAAGGTTATAGCTATAATTCCCTGTGCTATACAATATACCCTTGTTGCTTGTCTATTTTATGCATAGTAGTTTCTTTCTTTTAATCCCATACCCCTAAGGAGCTCTTCCCCGCTTCCCTCTCCCCACTGGTAAACACTAGTTTGTTTTCTAGATCCGTGAGTCTGTTTCTGTTTTGCTATATACATTCTTTTTTTTTCTGACTTATTTCACTAAGCATAATATTCTCTAGGTCCATCCACATTGCTACAAATGGCAGAATTTCATTCTTTTTTATGGCTGAGTAATATTCCATTTTCTGTATGTCTCTGTGTGTGTGTGTTTGTGTGTGTGTGTGTGTATACACACGCACCACATCTTTATCCATTCATCTGTTGATGGACACTTACGTTGCTTCCATATCTTGGCTACTGTAAATAGTACTGCTATGAACATTGGGATTTGTGGATCTTTTCAAATTAGAGTTTTCATTTTTTTCTGGATATGTACCCAGGTGTGGAATTGCTGGATCCTATGGGAGTTCTATTTTTAGTTTTTTGAGGAACCATACTGTTTTCTATAATGGCTGCACCAACTTACAGTCCCATCAACAGTGCACAAGGGTTCCCTTTTCTTCACACCCTCACCAATACTTGTTATTTGTAGACTTTTCAATGATGGTTATTCTGACAGGTGTGAGGTGATATCTCATTGTTGTTTTGATTTGCGTCTCTCTAATAATTAGCAATATTGAACATCTTTTCATGTGCCTATTAGCCATCTGTATGTCTTCTTGGGGACAGGAGAGTTTTGGTTGCAGTGGAGATAAACTGGTAGTTACTGGAGTATGCCTGATGAGGACGAAAGCATAGACCAGGATGAGCTTACCTAGGAAGACAGTATAATGCAAAAAGTCTACAACTGAGCCTTCAGGAACTCCAGCATTTACTGGCAGTGGTAGGTAATTCTGCAAAGGAAACTGAAAAGGAAGGGTCAAAGAGGTAGGAGGAAAACAAGGATGATGATATAATGGGAGAGAGGATGGCCAAAGGTGACAGTTTTGTTGAGAGGTCAGGGTAGACATACACAGAAAAATAACCACTGTATTTATTGACAGTTTACTGTGGACCTTAGTAAGGCTGTTTCAGTGGCGTGATGGAGGCAAAAAGTGGGTTGGAGAAAGCTGAGTGGTCAGTGTGTGAGAGTTAAGGAAATGGATCCCAGGGTATAGACAATTCTGTTGCTATTGCAGAACTGCAATATTTCAAGCAATATTGAATGTTGCTTGACATGAATGGGGGCTTTTTGTGTGTGAGTCTACGACTTTTTTCATAATGCTAATTTATTATTATAGGATTAAAATTGTAAAGCACCAAATATCCCTGCGTAACCCTGGAGGAAGTGCACATACTTCTGTAACAGTGATGATCTTTTACTCTGAAAAGGAGTTTTGTTTTTGGCTCCTGAATATACTTGAAATGTGGGTTGCTATTAATAAAATCAACAGTTAACTTTTGCGAACCACCAGCATACTTTGAAAAAAACAATCTTGCAAGCCCACTAACGGGTGATTAGTTACGCATTTTCTTGTCTCTGTCACTGCTGAGGTTAACAAAGGGGAAAGAAACCTGCCAAGAGAAAGGCCAGTCTGTTTGGGAGCAGGGCTGGCTTAGACATCAGGATCGTGGCTTCCAGTCCAGACTCTGCCTTTTTGACCAGGGTGGCCTTTGGCTTTGGGCAACTCCCTTGCCTCTTAGGTCTCAGTTTGTTCATTTATAAAATGAGGGTTTGGATCCAAGTGATTTCCAAGGGACCCTCCATCTTCAAAATCCCCTGATTCTGCTTTTTCAGATTAGAATTGTAATTTCTCATTCACTTACATTGAGAGCATATTAGATTAAATTAATGAGAAAGGTTTTGTTTGGTCCTTATGTGAACTGTTTTCTTGTTCATATGCACTTCATTACTCATATATTGTTTTTTAAAAGTCTATGCAAAACATTAATTTTCATATTTGTTGTATTAGAAGACATGGTTTCATTTGATTTATCCCGTCTGCTTTACACTTCACATGAAATCACTAGGAGGTGAATTATTGCCAATTCAGCTAATTATTTATGGGTATTTGGAGGATGTTTTTTGCTATACTGTTTTTAATTTGGCAAACAGCACGTCGCCCAAAGCATAGTAATTCACATTTTTCTATTTAACTAAAAATATCTCATAAATACTAGGTATACCACAAGAACAAGCCTGCATATTTATTTAACCAACCAGGACTATGCCTTTTTTAAAAAGAACTTTATCGGAATTCCCTGGCAGTCTAGTGGTTAGGACTCCGTGCTTCCACTGCAGGGGACACGGGTTCGATCCCTGGTCAGGGAACAAAAACAGGAATAGGTATTTGGTTAGGAAATACCAATACCACAATTACCACACAGCACGGTCAAAAAAAATTTTTTTTAATAAATAAATAGGACTTTATTTTTTAAGAGCAGTTTTAGATTCATATTCACTTCTACATTTTGAATTTTTTTGTTACCTACATGAGATTATTTTCCCTTTTAAAATCAAATGATCTGTATCAACCAAATGTCTTCATTTTTTTCCTGTTTGTTCTTACACTCCCTGCAAAAAGTCAGTTTCCTGTTTTCTCAGTTTAAAATTAGAGACAGCAGTTCCGTGCAGGGGAGTGATGGGTGGGCCTTAACCCAAGAGATGGGAGGCTCGAAATCAACTAGTCTGTTGAGATCTCCTGGGATATCCAGAACTGCAGTTTACCACAGGAATGAGCAGACTCTCCAGGTTTTTCTCTGCCTGGAGTTTGGAAGCAAGACTAACCTTGGGACTGGAGTTCTTAGAGAATTATGGAGTGACGCCTTGGCCATATTTGTTAGAAACAGAATGCTTTATACAATTTACCAAAACATTATACAGAGAAAAATAGGCAAAAATGCTATGGAAGACACAGTTGGTTTCCTAACCAAATACCTATCCCTGTTTTTGTTCACCTACCCTCTAGAGGCTAGACATGCTAAATTCTCTTATTACCATGTTGCCACATCCACAGAACGTGGATATCTAGAATTGTGCTGATTGGTAAAGGAGCGGTGAAGGAACCTGATCCAGAAGTGCTGAGCTGCTTAAGCAATGTCATCAGCTGCCTATCTCCAGTCTTCTTATTCTAGATGGAAATAAACCCTGATTTGTTTAAGCCACTTTTAATTGATACTTGCAGCTAAAAGTATGCCAGTGAACTTTTGAGGGTAAAAAGGGGTAAAAATGGAGGACTTGATCTATCTGATAGATTTTACAATCCAGGAAGCAATAAGTAAACGTTAACTGGTTAAAAGTGAAAATAGGCTAGTGGCTAGCCTGACGCCAGCCATCCTTGCATTCCATAGAGCACCAAACCCCAGCGAGTGAGGTGGATGGAAGAGAGGGAATGATCTGATGGACCTGGGGACTCACGAATGGGGTCCAAACATGGGGCTATTGCTGGCTTGGGGTGAGTGAACCAGTTCCAACCAGGAACAAACTTTCCAACCAAGTGGGAGGTGGCCTACCTT